AACTTCTCAAGGACAAGCCTTCAGTATTGTTGCATTGTCTCAAGTAAGCGAGGGCCCTTCCGGTAACTCCGGCGAGATGCGCCTTGACTAATCAGTTCACTCTCATGGAACAGGACCACAATGGCTGTAAGAGGTGAAGACAAGACTGATACAGAGACGCCAGCGAGACAGCGGAAGGCTCACAAGAAGTCTCGTCTCGGATGTAAGAACTGCAAACTGAGGAGTGTCAAGGTGAGCTGATTGCTGTAACTCTTGTCCACCAGCCCCATATCTCAGTCACACGCTTCACATCACCTCAGCACTAACATCTTTTCAGTGCGATGAATCAAAACCATCGTGTAAACGTTGTACCTCATCGGGCTTTGTCTGTTCATTCACTCAGATATCCCCCTCATCCTTCCAACTCGCACACCAGAGCGCAGGGCCAGTCTTCTCAGTGGTCGATAAGTCTCTCGGCCCTATCAACCCTGGTTTCCGAGTCCCCATCATCCGGCCTGTAAAGGGTGGTGTCGGTGAGATTATACTAGACGATGCTGCCCTAGCTGCCATTGAGAGGTTTCGACTAAGGACGGTGTTTTCTGTTGGTACACAGAAGACGAGAAGTGTTTACAGTGAAGGCGCGTTTTTGCTGGGATTGAAGGTGCGTACTCACCAGTCTCTTTATAGTATTTGGCACTGAAATATTTATAGCATCCTTTTCTCATGCATGTCTTCATTGCTCTGGCTCTTCTTCATGATCAGCATCTTAACCCTTGCCAAACATCTTCTCACCGCACGGCACTCGCCTTTCACTGGTATCAAGCGACAGCCCTCTTTCATCGCCGTCTTATGGCAGCAGGATCGGTCCCCGATGTGTCAAAACTTTCTGGCTCTGAACGCGACTCCCTCTGGGCATCAGGAGCACTTCTCGGCGCAGCTTCTATGGCTCTTTTGGATGCCGAAGACGTGTATGGAGTATGGCCTCTCAAGAAATCCGACTGTCTTGATCTTGACTGGCTGAGAATGAGCGACGGGAAGAAAGTTGTATGGAAGATCGCTGACCCAACGAGAAAGGATAGTATTTTTCATCAATTGCTCAAAGAGTGGGACGGTATTCCTGATGGTTCCAAACCCATTCCGTCCGATGCCCTTCCTACTATGTTCTACGAGGCTTTTGACATTGGGCCGTCTTCTACAGCTCAGAACAACCCATATCATGTCGCTGCGTCGTTACTCGCACAGTTGCTTCCCCGAAGGATCGATAATAACACAGTGATCCAGTTTCTCACTTTCTTAACGCAACTAGACCCGCGGTATAGGAAGCTACTGGAGGAGAAAGACCCCAAGGCTATGGTGTTGCTGGCATGGTGGTACACCAAAGCAGCGGCACACAGCTCGTGGTGGATGCAGAGGAGATCGGTGGTGGAGGGGCTGGCAGTCTGTATCTACCTGGAGAGGAATTGTGGGCATGAAGCAGTTATTCAGGAGCTGGTGAAGTTTCCAAGGCGTGTATTTGATGCCTGTCGTGGTAATGGAGGTTCAATGCCCGCCCAGGACAGGCAGCCTTTAATAGCGGGTGTTCAAGCCTACTAGGTAGTAGTAATCACAGGACAATATTATGAACCCAGAGCGTTTTAAAGACAACTTCTTATGCCCAAGACAGCTGCGAATAAGGTCAGTCAATGATTGAGTCATCACATATTCTCCAAGCCTATGTGTATATCGCCTTCCAAAAGCTTGAGTCAATTGGAATTTTTCAGCGTATTAGCTTGATATATATCGTGGAGATGTCACGGTCTAAGCTTTAACCATTAATTAATCAACCGCGTTTTAGAACCCCGATAGATGAATGCGGCTTGAGACGCAGTCCAACCGATTTGGCCTCAAGAGGCCCGTGCACCCAGATTGAGCTCTTATCGATAGACAGGCGTGGTGTGGAGTGCTTTGGGTGCCTGTCGGCGTTGAGTAACCCCCCGCGCATCAGGTGCTACCTTTAAACTTATAACTTTGATTGTCTATGACTCTTCTGAATTCCAAACTTCAAAACAGTCAGACCGAGACGTGGCGCAGCTTTTTTCGAGAATCACTTTCAATTATTTAAATACTTCTCTGGCCTTCAATCTCCCTTAACACTTAATACTCTATACCACAAATCGCATGACATCACCAGGGGAGGCGAGCATCCTTCGGACGTTTATCCTAGCGACAAGAATACTTAGGTAACTCAGCATAAGCTCAGGGGAGCCTTTGCTGGGTTTATTTTGGCATCTTACAAGTCTTGTCATAATGTCGACGAAGCCATTAGCGCACGAGAAGCGCAAAGGCGAATCGGTTCGTATATCTTTGGGCTACACGAAGTGTATACTAATGCTTGACATGTAGGCGCTCAGCGATTTCGCGGATTATGTAGAGCAACAGCAAAACTTACGGTACCCGACCGCACGAACGACGACGACGACGACGACGACGACGACGACGGATGCTGCCGAGACAACGGACGCAGATACCGAACACCACGAAGAGCTTGATGAGCTATTCGATAACCTAGACCTTGCTGAATCAGCACCGCGAGTGCCTCTCAAGGAACTTCTGCTTGGATCGACCGAGGACACATCGAAGCAATTGGAGGAAATCATCTCTGACCGATTAGAGGAGGGTTTCGGCGAATGTGTTTTCGAGATTGGATATGAGAATCATGGCGAGTCGATGAACCTGACCCTCGATCAATGGAATCAGGCGTTCAAGACACTCCAGGAAGCCGCGAAGGGAGTGCGCGCCGACTGCGATCTGTTGTTAACCAAGAATGTCGGCGGCGACCTTGAGGCCGCGAGCACTACCGACAAGCCTACCAAGGACAAGAGCTGCAGTGGCAAGGTTCTGATCCGTCAGAATCCCGCAACAATAGAGGATGTAATTGAAACCCGGATAGCGGTGGTAGGGAATGGTGAGTTATTCCGAGTTCCACCCGGTGAGTACCACTATTGACACGTTGCAGTCGACGCAGGCAAGAGTTCCATGTTGGGGGTGCTCGTAAAGGGAGATCTTGATGATGGACGAGGTAAAGCTCGTGTCAATCTCTTCCGGCACAAGCACGAAATAGAGTCAGGACGAACCAGTTCGGTTGGCATGGAGATCATGGGCTTCGACACCATGGGCAAGGTCGTCACCTCTGACACCCCTGGGCGTATGTCACAATGATTCTCAACTAACACGAAGGACCATACTGACATTTTGTAGGCAAATTGTCTTGGGAAGAAATTGGCAAGAGGAGTGCAAAGGTCATCACCTTCACTGACTTGGCTGGCCACGAGAAATATCTTCGAACGACAGTATTCGGATTGCTCTCGAGCAGTCCAAACTATTGTCTTCTGATGGTCGCGGCGAATAACGGTCTCATTGGCATGAGCAAAGAGCATCTGGGTATTGCTCTGGCTCTCAACGTCCCCGTTATGGTTGTCGTCACCAAGATCGATATCTGCCCTCCCAACATTCTGGAGCAGACATTGACGCAGATCACCAAGATAATGAAGAGTCCTGGAGCTCGAAAGATCCCAACTTTCATCAAGACTCGCGAGGAATGCATAAATACAGCGACCCAGTTTGTCAGTCAACGGATATGCCCTGTCTTCCTCGTCTCCAACGTTACAGGGGAGAATCTTGATCTGGTCAGGACCTTCTTGAACATTCTCCCCCATCACGGACGCTATAACTCGGATGCCCCATTCGAGTTCCACGTCAACGACACTTTCTCAGTACCTTTCACAGGTACTGTCGTGTCTGGTATCATCAAGTCCGGTGTCATTCATGAGGGAGACAACGTTCTCATCGGACCTGACTCTTTGGGCCAATTCACACCAACCTCTGTCAAGTCAATTGAACGAAAGAGGATACGAGTCCCCGCTGCATCGGCTGGACAGTCTGCTTCTTTCGCTTTGAAGAAGGTCAAGCGCAAAGACGTGCGCAAGGGTATGGTGCTTCTTCCCAGGATCGAAGGCCAAGTGATGCCAAAGGTGCACCGTGAGTTTGTTGCAGAGGGTAAGGATTTAATTCAATGCCACAATGAGCCACACTAACATTGTCAGTTCTAATTCTTTCTCACGCCACTACTATTAAGACCAAGTACCAGGCCATGCTTCACGTCGGCCCTGTCTCCCAAACTTGTGCCATCATCGACATTGACCGAGCGCTCATTCGCACAGGAGATCGCGCAACTGTCGCCTTCCGCTTCGTTCAACGCCCTGAGTATCTTGCACCAGGCGACAGACTCCTGTTCCGCGAAGGCCGCACAAAGGGCCTTGGTATTGTGAAGTCCGTTGGATACGACCCAAATCATCCATTAATGCCCAACAAGGATGGAGAGAAGGAGAAGCAGCCTGTTAACTCCGAGGTTAAAGTAGGTGCTTGAAGCGTTGGAGGGATACCGCCATGAGGCTTGATGCCTACGGCTGTCACGATACCAAGTAAGGACAAGGGTATGGCGTTTTGTTGTTTTTCAAGGAGATAATTGAATAGTCTAGCTGGTTTTGATATGCTGTTACGTCTGTCTCTCGTTACTGTAGCGTTTGTTCGAATGTATTGCTAGAATGATATTTTGACTTTTCAAGTGCCATGAGAACCACAGTTTCATCAATGGGTATCCTGTAATGGCCAATAAACTGTGACATGCCTGTATCGGAAGGCTCTATGGATACGAACTGGAGGTGGGTTTTCGCATCAATCTTCTTTTGTGATATAATGCTCTATCTATCTAAACCTTGAGCTAAATCTGTCAGGGTGAGCTTTCTAGCAATAGGAGCCACTTGTTCAACTTCGACTTGGCTTTTACTGGAACACAATGTGGCTCAAGGGTTGTAATGCTCGAAGGTATTGAACCCTAAGCACAGCGTTGGGCTGCTGCATTCGGGGTGCTTTGAGCAGCTTTACGCCTCAAGCTGTCGTATGACGCAAGGGAAATAGTCGCTGCTAAGACAGAGTTTGCACATTTGAGTGAGTGCAGGGTGTTATGATTCTTTGTATCCCTTCTAGAACGGAACCCCAGGTGAGATAAGGACAACACTATCGCCTAACTTGACGTCAATATGCAGAAACGAATGGACCGCAGATCGACTCACCTCTCACGAACAGCATCTCAGATTTCCGGCTGATAGTCTGAATTTCAGTTAGAATCGACTCAGGTCAGTCTCAGAACCCCGCATACCTTGAGTTCTTCGTCGTCATCGTCGTCATCCACAGTGTAGATGGTCTCCTCGACTTCTCCCAACACCAGATTGCAGTGGCTGTCGTAAGCCTGTCTATGATCAGTATCTCCTCGATAAAAGCAGTCACAGGCCTAACTGACGTGTAGCTTTCCCTTGAGCTCACGGTCTCCTCGAAGTTTGACAAAGACAACCTCGTTGAGAAGGAGTCGAACAAGGTCGAGAGGCTCCGAAACGTGATGAGGCTCTTCGCCTGTATCAGCCATGATTATTTGGAATGGTTATTGACTGGGTTAGGTCCGTCTCGGTGAGTGCAGTGGTGAGCTGGGCAGGGCTGAGCTGGATATGCACCAAGGACGACTCAGTGAGAAAACGGATTTGGCAGGGTTGGAAAATCCTCGGAGAAATTGCTACGTTATGAAGTAATCCACAACGGCAGCGAATGCATCTAGACCATACAATTACCCCATGTTTTGATGCAGTTAAGCAGTGCGGTTCAGGTGTGGTCCTTCCCGATTTGGGTTACACGGCAGCCAAACGCCCCTCGCGCTGAAAGAGGAGGTGTTCAGTTACATCCGAGGCCTTCCACCCTCATCATCTTGTCCTGCCCGCTCTTTTATGTCTCTCATGGTTTTGTCTTTTGTGTTTTTCGCGACAACTTCGGTGCCATGCTTTGGCGACAATCCCTCCTAAGACGGACCCGTCTCGATCATCCATCGACATCTCCACTCGCTTTCGCGCTACGGATCTATGGTTCCTCGCTAATACACCAACGACCCGCTGAGGTGGGTCGAAGACGATGGTTAGCATCAATATCTCCCCCGGTTTCAACTTCGGCTTCGACTTTTGCGCATCTGCGAGGCAATTCACCACCAGACGAAAACGATACCCACCGTCCCACGCCTTTAGATGCACTGCTCAAAGCTATACGATGTCAAGAGACTGGTCGTATCCTCCCAAAGTTGCAGGCCTGGGTCCAATCGTTGGTCAGCGATAATGTTGAGGTCGCCAACGCAGCTCTTCAAGAGCTAGCGGGGCTTCCTGTTGCGACATTCTCTGAGATTCTTCGAGCACTTGACCCCGTTGCAAACAAACATCTCGATGTTGCACACGATATCGCCATTTCTTCTGGCGAAATGCAGTTCACAAACGCACACCACGTTGTAGACAAATTCGGCGTGCGGTATCAGCATCGCTTTGTCCTCGACGCCTTGAAAACTGTCACTAAAGCTCGTCGTGATGGTGGCCGTAACCTTGTCCTCTCTGACTTTGAAGTCCTCATCCGTTGCGCGGGAGCTGCTGGAGACTTGGCAGATGTTTTCTTCTTTTTCAGTGCAACTCAAAGATATGGATTGGGGTCAAAACGCAGCACGAGAACTTGGAACGAGTTCTTCAAGGCTCGCTTTATGACCGATCCTGTATACTACCAGTATCACCGACAGAGAGTCCTTTATAAACCTCGTGAGGGGTACAAAATATATTTCAGGATGCCTCTCCACAACCTGAAGCGACTGGAAAGTCTCCGACACAGCCGGAATGCCCTTGGCGTGACCCCCTTCAATCGTCAACGGCATCGCCAATGGGCAGACAACATGCTATGGAAGCGTAAAAAGACAGGTTTCCAAAGTTACTTCGCACATTGGCGCCGCAGCAAGAATTCTGGCGTTCTACTCAATGAGGAACTGCTTTGTACCACTCTGATTGCATTTGCTCGCAGTGGCTCGTTCCAACATATACGTGGCATTGTCCTCAAACGAGGTTTCGGTATCGGACTGGTAGAAGACAGAAAGACCGGCACCTTTACCGTCAGTGGTTTTAAGGCGTTTCGTCCAGGCAATCCACGAGCTCCCACTGAGCGTCTGCTGAATGCTATCGTCGAAGCATTTGGGTCCATGATGCGTATTCGGCTGGCATGTCAGCTCCTCATCCACGTCTCTAACGCCTACCAAATACCCATTCCACCCGAAACATGGTGTAATCTCCTCAACTGGGCCTATGTCTGCGGAGTTAAATCAAATCAGCGTCAGCGTCGGTTCATGTATTTCTTTCCTCTCTCTTCAAACGTGACTACGTCAATGGTTACCGAGATTTGGGACACAATGACTTCAAAACCTTACAACGTCGAGCCTTCGTTCGAAAGTTACATCGTCTACATCAATTCGCTTATATTTAAGCGTAGTTTCAGCTCGGCATTGGATATGATACGCGACCATGCTGTTCCTCATTACCGTCAGCTTGAGAAACAGCAATTACAAAGCGTGTTTGACGACGTTCTTCAGGAAGCCTCGGAGCCCAGCCACAGCCGCCGAACAATTGAATCACAGAAGGAGCACGCTTGGTATCAGATCGCAAAATGCCTGGGAAATCTCCTTAGTACCGCTTCCAAGGACAGTCGCCAGCGAAAGGGTAACTTTGCAACTACTGCCATACCACATATCATCACGGAATTCAGCGAATTTCTACATGATCAGATACGATATCGCACCTCCCAAGGCTACGTATGCCTGGAACGCTCAATGGAAGTGCCACGCTTCAAATGGGTTACAAGTGTACGAACAACACTGCCTCAGTTAAAGGGCGGCGTGGAAACGCAGATGATGGTGAGCAAGGGCGTGGTCGAAGAGGCAGAAACCTACGAAGAACGCAAAGAGAACTGGCCTAGAGACTTCGAGATGAAGATACTCGAATGGAGGCGTAAACCGCAGCCCAGACCCCGTGCGAAGGGACCTGCGCCCGAGAGGACAGCCGTGGATAGGTGGGGGTGGTGGAAGAATTTAGAAGATGAATTAATGGTGTAGATACAAGGTAATGGTTCTAGATCTAGACTAAAGTCATATAGATGCCATTCATCATAGACTTAGCGTAGCGAGTCAAGAAGTGTTTGTCTTCACTTACTGGATGGTTCATTTGTCAATCGTGGTAGCCAACTTGGCATAAACAAGAATGGCAGATGATAGCAAAATCTGATTCATAACTGCTGTATTCTGGTGTCATCTTATCGTGGGTATCTAATCCTGCCATAGTCTCCTGATAGTCTCTGTCGGAGACATGCGTGTCATCCGTGGTATAACTACATACATAAATTCCAACAAGGTATACAAAAATGACAAGCTCTTTTCCATTGTTTTCTCAGTTCCCATCTTGTTCTGTGGTCCAGTCCATCTTACAGTTGGCTTTGTTACATATCCAAAAACGCAGTACAGAACCAAAGTCATAATAAGGAAATGACAAAGGGAAGTAAATAGGTAGTTTGATTCGGAACCAGCCCGTTGAAATTCAAGATGCTGCTTCGGCGAGGACGCTCAAAAGGCTCACTGCTGCACCGCCAATGCCAACAGCGCCAAGAGCTTCACCCCATTTCTTTCTTCCCTGAGGGCGGTCTTCCTTCCTGGTGCTTCTCCTATCGCGATCTCTGTCACGATCCCGGTCACGGTCCCGGTCTCGGTCACGATCTCGGTCACGATCTCGGTCACGATCTCTCTCGCGATGGTACCGCTTTCCGCTGTCGTAGTAATAGTCGCCATGTCTATCGCTTCGTGAGTGGCGATCTGCACTATCAGAGTATCTTCGCGAACGTCGCGATGATCTCGTAGGGCTCTGTCGCCGGCGCTCACGATGATGATCATGGTCACGATCACGATGGCGATCGTCCCTGTATGATCGGGGACTTCGGGTGTCAACCTCGTACGGCTCCGGATCGAAGCGCACGTGGTTTTCGTTTTTGTTCTTAAGAATTGGCTTCGGCATTGTGGTGCTTGAAGGAGATGTCGGGTCCTTTGTGGGAGGGTTGACGATATACGGATAACTCTTGGTACCTTTCTCAGACGACTTATCTTCTTCGTCGTCTGAGATGTCGGATTCGTCAAAAACTCCGCTATCATCATCATCGTCTTCCCGGCTGCTCTTCGAATCTCGCCGCTCAGAGTGGTGGTCGTGCTTGCGAGGCGGAGGACCACGTCGTGAACGAGCAGCTCGACAGGCAGCACTTTCACGGGCGAACTCGGACACTTGTTCTCGAGTCAAACGGCCCAAGACTGCAACGTAGTCTGGGCGAGCCTCATAGCGCACACCAGCTCGTTCAAGGACCTCGGGGCTAACTAGCTCCCGTCTAATTCTGGTCCACTGGGCATCAGGAGGAATCTCATTACCCCATCGGTCAGGAGCAAGTCGAGGAGCGCTGCTCCGTGGACTGCTACCGTAAGAGGGGGGTCCGCTACTGATAGGATGAGGCATAGGGGGCATGGAGCGTGGAGATGACTCGATGTGGCGTGTGATTGGGGAACTCGACAACTCTGGGACATCTGGCAAACTGTTTGGTGGCATCTGTCTATGCCCGGGAGACAAACTGTACTGGCCGTTGCCCTGGACATTCAGGTTTGCCATTCGCGTGTTGAGGCTATCCATGGCGAGTAGATCCTGGGTCGACACCATTGCCATGGAGTAGTCGGATTCATTGTCGGCATCTCTTGGGGACGACGAAATAGGCTCTCTCGCGGAGTCGCTGTTTGACCTCCCTCGCCCACCAGTGATAATAACGGGTGGATATTTTCTGTAGGGGCTGCTGTCAAGCTCTTGGGGAGAGGTAGGCTGTGATCTTGCTTCATGCTCCAAGAGACCCCTCACGGTGGGATAGTTACCGCCGTACTGGTTCTGAACGGACTCGAGCTCGCGAACGTATGCTCGTAGAACATCCTGACGCTGTGTTAGTCGTAACGATCTACAAGGGAGATTTGATCAACACGTACTTTGTGTTTGCGTAGCACTTGGGGGGAGAACCCTTGATCTTCGAGCTCGATCTTGAACTCGCGCCAGAGACCATCCTCATCTTCGGCAAAACTGCCCTCGTTTCGGTTTCGAAACAACTTAGTGGCGATTTCGTCAACCACATCCTTGATTCTCTCAAGTCCCGCTTGGCCTTCGACAACCCTGGTGGGTCTGTTGTCGGCATGCAGTTGAACGGCGTCGAGAAACATCTCTACACTGGTCTTGTCCCCAGCCAGTTTGTGCTTGATGACCGAGAGTTCTTGATCGCGCTGGCGCTCATCTTCTGGCATGACAGCGCGGCCGTCCCCATACTTATCTAGATGGCGCTCAAGTTGGCCGAGGGTGAATTCACAGTCATCGACGAGAGGCTCGAGCTGGCGGCTGTAGACGGACGAGGACGAGGGTCGGACATTGCTGAGAACAGAGTCTTGATCGGCTGCTTCGATGCGCAGATGTCGTAGGGCTATATGTAGATTTCGAACCGCAGTCGCGACGTCGGTAA